CGGGGTGCATCTCCCAGAGAGAACCTCGATGCCTGTATTGTTATTGACGGGCACTGGACTTTCGCAGGACTGGTTCTGTTCATTAATAATTTTCCGTTGACGGTTTTCAAGAAGTTCAAAAATTAACTTCTCAATCAGAGTACGCTTCAACGAGGCCTCCGCAGGAGGGAACCAGTTTAGATAAAGCTGGAAAACATAGAGAAAGAGTATGATCAGCAAAAAAAGAAAAAAAATCCAGCTCTTCTTAGTTCAGCTCCATTTAGAAACTATATGTTCTGACTCTTTCAATTCGATACATGAGAGGTACCAATTAGAGTATAGACTTACAAAGTTGGAAGCATTATAAATCTCGAAAGGACTAAAATTCTGGGGAGCTTCAGCAAGAAATAGCTCCAAATAGTGCAGCAGAAAGAGGCCACAGTCATATGAGTTTTCCTGCTGTGGCAACTGAAACAGAAAGAGCAAATTCGAAATCACATAAACTAAATCATTAACAGCTGCGAAAACTTCTATAATATCACAGGAAAAAAGGGTTTCACAAGAGATAAAGAACTTATAAAAGGGCCTCGAGGCAAAATATTTTAAGACTAGAGGCCAGACCTCGAGTGAGACAAACCGTAAATTCATGAATCTGGAAGAAATATCATCCGATGTCTCCTTATGCCTCTCCTTCCACTCCTCGCACAAGTAGCTAAAAGCAGCAAAATGTTGTTAGCAACTGGCACTACCCAGCTTAAAACTTAAGCATGAATATAGTTCTACACTTAATTCAAAAGGATCAGAGCATGGAGCTACAACATATTCTTGAACGGATAAACGTAAAAACAGCATCAAGAAAATATATTAGCATCTCGTTAGGAAAGGCAAAAATATAAACAACTGACGTATATGCACAGCTGCCAAACATACCTTTGGACCAGATTCTTAAGCCCTGCGTGGCTCCCTTTTATAGAATCCATATGTAAAATACATGGTACTTTTGTGGAGTCATCCAAGTCTATATCTGTAGAATACAAGATAATATAATAAACTGAATGATAATGACTAAGCAATAAATAAAGTAACGTGTGACTTTACCTGTACAATTAGCCACTTCACCAGGATGACAGATGATTATCAAACTCCAGTGAAGACTGTCATTAGAATTTAGCAGTCTCAGATTTCGAACTCAATACACATCTAACATAAATATAAGTGCCATAAAAAAGGTCATACTTGAAGTTCACCGGTACAAAAATGTAGTCCTTCCCAAACATGTCCACCTTCCTAGTCCACTTCCGGACACGTAAGAAAGCAGCCTTTCCATCGGCTATACTCGATGGATCTTTGTCGAGATCAGCAAGTTTCCGGAAGAAAAAGCTGTTAAAGAAATGGAATCTCTGTCTCTCCTCCGCTCGAATCTGATTCTTCAAATAACTGGGAAAGTAGAATAATACACTAAGCTGTTAAAAGTTAAGGTTAGCATCACGAGAAGATTTCAATAAGACCAATGGTAAAATTGTGTATTATATTGAGACCATCAACTAAATAAGAGATTCAACCGTGTCATAAAAATAATCTACAACGCATTCCAGAGCCTATACTATCTTTCAACATTCCATCAGAGAGAAGAGCTTACTTAATATAGAAGTCAATGATTGTGTCATTCACAAATGTCTCTGGCTGCAACAGCTCGACATCTCTTTTGCAAATGGAAACAGCATCTGGATCTCCCTTTGGATAAACAACATCCTCAAATGGTTCATCAAATCTGAAAAGACAACAAAAAACTCACAGTTCAATATGAAATGCCACCTTCCAATGGTTTAATTCTTTCAGTTATCTACTTAAGAGAGCCATAGAATAATAGTAATGACGCACTTTGGGCATTTTTACCCCAAAGCAGAACAGAAGACAGCGTCTGGTTACACAAGAATATAAATACAGCTCCTATAGATCAGTCTTACCGTGGAAAATAACGCTTCCGTTGATGCAAGTTGGCCCCTGATACTTCCACGTCCTCACTACAATAAAGAAACAGTTATGAATGAGTTGGAACAATAAGTCACCAAAGTACTCAGAATGTAACTAAAACCAAATATGAGTCCAGTATCCAACTCATATCCCCTCATACTCGTAGTTATTCAGCAAATTAAATTTTCTTGTCATCACAGTATGCAATTTAAATTTTGAAATGAAAGTTGCAAAAAGAATGTGTTTTCCAATCAGCGTTCCGTAATATTAGAAGCTTACTCGAGGTCAGCACTCCATACAGCCGGGTATTTCACATGCAGCGAGTTAATTTGTTGTTGCTTCTCAGGCCAATTGTGATCTTTAACTGCAAACTTTAACTCCTCAATGTCTGGAAACCACACGAAGCAATATAAAAAGTTAGAATAGGGATCCCCTAGTTTTGGAAAGAACTAAGGCTTAAAAAGCGACATCAAATAAACATTTGTTTATGAATCTTGGTCCTGCAACTAGTTATTGTATATACGATTTTAACAAGAATCGTTGCAGGGAAACATTCTGTTGTAAACCAAAATAGCGTATGTACAATAACTGAGCATGTGAGTATACCTGTGGTGTGTTGCATATCTTCATGGCATTTTTCATCCTTTAATAGAACTTGAACTCTTAGAATAATCAGTCCAACCTATGAAAGCGACCAGCAAAAATTGTAAAACTGATAGAGATTCATATATGCAAAATAGAAAAAGAGCCCATAAAGTATCTTTCAAACTGGAAGCACACCATAATTGAAAAACTCACATTTTGGTACCAATTGTATTGAATACTAACTACGTCTTCAACTCCAAATTCACAACAGAATGGCCCTTCTTCATTATTATCAAGGTAGCTCTTTATTGTGATTCCATTGCATGAAAAGATTACCAGAGATGCAGTACAAGGCATATCTTTCAGCACAACATACTCTGGAATCATGATAACAGCCGTGTTTCTGTCGATCTGCAAAGTGGAAAGCGTTACTTGAGAATTGTAACTCTTACTTTGAACATACAGGCACAATTAAAAGTAGCCTTACTGTAATATAACAATATATCAACATGTATAAACTAACCAGTCCCATCAGATATGTTGCTAAGAGGAATACCCATATTCCAACTCATATAACTATAAGCGTTGACATGAAATTTTTTAAGCTCACAAACAACAGAGTGCGAAATAATTAAAATAATTAGGCTAAAGAAAGAAGGTTGCATTCTTTTCATCAAAGTGCCGCAATCTGAATTATGAACGAACGAAGATGCCCGACTCATGCATAAAGAGATTCAGTAAAACAAGTAAAACCCAATCACGTAAAAAATCACACAAGTACCATTGTCATATAGGGATGAAAGAAGAAAAGGAAAAAATATCATCTTTTGCAACTACACAAGATGGTCTTAAAGACTAAAACAATTTCTGGCAGCAGTTTTAAAGCCATTGGTTAAGAAACAAGAAAACTCATTACCTTTTCCATGTCATCGAAGCAGTGTTCAACCATCCAATCTTTCAGCGCATATAACATTGAAATCAATAGCCAGTTAGACATAGGAGGACATCAAATCATACATATAAGGAAACTTAATGAAAATCCTGTAATATGTACCTTCATCGCCTTCTGAATCAGAAGCTTCACTCAACGCACATCGATCACTCAAGCTTTCATCAGCTGACATCATATCAGTTCGCTCCTCCTGCACATGTAAAGCGATTACAAACACAAGCTAAAATTTTTGAACGCTTTCTCACATACAAAAAACAAAAATAAGCAATACAAGATAGACTACATACACTGGATGAAGAATCCGAAAGTGGTGAGTTAAGCTGGTCTTGACTATATGTGGAAGCTTCGGCGTAGAAACTCTTTGCGCTTAGCTGGCAAGAGAAACTTTCCAGTCCATGATCTACATCTGCTTCTTTTGCACGGTCTTCGGTACTCAAACCAAGCATCAATCCCCGATCTAAATCTGCTATGGTCAAATTGTCTCTGGAGGACTCCTCAGCTTCTGTTACTAAACCCGGAGCATCTTCACAATGACGATCGATTACATCAGTAACAGCCTCTGCACAACTCGCGTCTCCCACTTCTTTAAGAGCAGGTTCTTCCTGGAAAACTGACAACAATTAACAATTTTCATAAGCATTCATATATGATGCAAACTGTTCAACAAAGATTCTGGAAAAAACAGTGCAAATTATTATCTAATTTACCAAAAAACAATCTAGTATTATAATTAGCGTACAATCTAGTATCTATAAACAAGCAATGATCACTCAATTGTACGCTAGAGTACGAAAAATTAAAAAAAGATTTTTAAAAATTCTCAGCTTAGCTTCCTTCCCTGGAACTATAACCGAGTGGAGCTTAAGGAAGAAGAGACTCACAGCTTTGGATGCGTTGGCGTTGCAGAGACGGAGAAACAGACGAGCTAGGGTTTGTGAATTTTTCCAGTAGCTTTCCAGAAACGGACTCAACGAGCTCATCCTCTACGTTGAAATCGAATACGTCAGTGTTTTTCTTCATCGCTAGGTTATCTGAGGGAAGTTTCGCCGGGAAGAAACAGAACAATCCTCGCCGGAGATCGACAATTGAGGTTCGAGTGAGAGCGAAGAGAGAGGAGAATGACAGATCTACCCTTTCTTTCTCCACTCCACGCGCGTTACGTAACTTTACGATATTTATCCAATAAGATCTTCATCTGCATAATACAGCTAAGGAAAATGACATATCTACCCTTTCTTCTCCGCCGTGAATTTTTAAATAGTGACGACGTGGACGCCATCGCTGAATCACAAAAAAGAGAAGAAACACCTAGTGGAAACTCCACGCGCCCGTTACGTAACTTTACGATATTTATACCAATAAAAAATCTTCATCTGAATAATTCAGCTAAGGAAGATGACATATCTACCCTTTCTTCTCCGCCGTGAGTTTTAAACAAGTGGTGACGTGGACGCCATCGCTGAATCACAAAACTGTTAGCAGAGAGATTGAAATTTGAAGGTAAGTAGTCATGGATGTCTCTGGAAGCTTGACCTGCGTCGTCGTATCTGTAGATGGAAGCGAGGTGAGCATGGAAGCTCTAAGGTGGGCTCTAGACAACCTCAAGCTCTCATCGTCTTCTCCCGATTCATCATTCGTCGTCCTCCACGTTCAGCCTCCGCCTTCTATCGCCGCAGGCGTTAACCCCGGCGCCATACCTTTCGGTGGTCCCAGTTAAGTCTCGTTTATAACTGTATATGATGATTTTGTTGAATTTGACTGTGGAAGATTTTTTGGATGAAGGTGACGTGGAGGTTCCTGCTTTCGCCGCTGCGATTGAACAACATCAGAAACGGATCACTGATGCGATACTCGAACACGCTCGTCAAATCTATGCTGATAGATCAGTGAGTAGTGTCTTGAGATCTAGTATTGATTTGCTTATATGTGTTGATTGATAAGGAAGTTTTGTGGTGATTTAATTCTCAGGTGAATGTGAAAACGCAAGTGGTTGTTGGAGATCCCAAGGATAAGATCTGTGAGACTGTTGAGAATTTGAAAGCTGATCTGCTTGTCATGGGATCTCGGGCTCATGGTCCTATTAAGAGGTAACCAATCTCTTTTTTTTGTCCATGCTAGTATCTTGCCTTTGTGTTTTTGTGAACTGATGAAAGCTACAAAGGAGAATTCAAGGTGTTTGAATCTTAGTTGCGATGGTGAATGAGTTGTCTCTTACTAAACTACTCTGCTAAACTAGACGTAGTTTAAGTTTGCTTGGATTGGTTAATATTATATTTTTTCGCAAACATGTTTGGTCAAGCAAATAAGTTATCTAACTTCTATGTATCATCTGTGCTTGTTTATGTATGAAGTGGAATCTGCATCGAGGTGAGAAATGAAAGAGCGTTTTTTGGCCTAATAGTTAGCAAAAGATTGATCAAATCCTGCTAAACTAGAAGTAGTTGAAGTTTTCCATTGGTTGTTTATTTGGAGAGGTTATATTATATCTTTTGCAACATGTTTGTTCTATGATGCAGAAAAACTCTTAAGTAAACATCAATGTTGAGAGAAATGGAACAGTTTGAAAAATGAAAAGTGTTAGTCTTTAAGCTTCTCTGATATGATATGATAACAAGATAATGAGGCATTCAACTTGTACTTAAGAGCAGGCATTTCTCTGCTCAGCTAGCAAATACGTCTTAGGGAATAGTTTTCCTGTTTAAGATCCATATTCTTGTGTTTCTTTCATGAGCTAAATCTTATATGGTGGAGCAATGCGTGTGCTCAATCCATTTTTTTTCTCTTTAAACAGGATGTTTCTGGGAAGTGTAAGCAACTACTGCACCAACCACGCTCCATGTCCTGTTATGATAATTAAACCCAAGGAGGATTCTTCTGAATAATCAGGTAAAAAGTTATACCTTCTTGCAAATCATGCCTTCAGCCTTCAGCCTTCTTGTAAATTATGTCAGACACTTGCAATCAATTGTTCACCCTTTACAATGGTCCTCAATCTTTATCCACATACCCTATTGTTCATGTCGAAACCAACCTAATATTTCCGTGATTTTGAGGTGATTCTCAGTAGTGTGTGTTTTATCTCTAGATTTTATCGATGTCAAAGTTTTTCTACAGCCTATCCAACAGAGCTATCTAATCATCTCCATTTCTCAGGGAAATGTGCACATATAGGATATCAAAACCATTTCTGGAATTTTGTGAAGCTATGGAAGTAGAGCAAAAAATCCACCTGTTTTTAGATGTTAATGCATTGTGTGAATGTAAAAAATCAATAAGAGCTACAGAAACATTGGTTGGCTCAGAAGCTGTGTTGTACTCATATATTCATGTCATTATGTTAAAATCTATGATGTTTCTTAACTGAAACATTGGTTGGCTCAGAATATGTGTTGTACTCATATTCATGTCATTATGTTAATCTATGATGTTACTTAAAATAATGTGAGTCTCTGTTGCAACAGTCTCTTTGAGGAACAGTTACATAGCTTAACTCTTTGAACATGCTTTTCATTAGATTTTCAATAGTCCTGACAAATCAAAGGCCTTGCGATCATGACTCATGAGGTTTGGCAAATGCTTGGTTAGCAAGTTTGATATATCTAGGAACATTGTCAATTTGTCACTCAACAAACTAAGGGCCATTTAGCAAAATGCCAGGCAATATTATTGGATCTGGGGATCTCTATGTAAGTTCATATAATACTGGATGGACAAAGGATAAAAGAATGATTATATGACATTTTTCAGGATTGTAAAATATGTTAAAAGGGCTCGTGAATGAACAATGATAGAAAAGGGACGAAAAGATACATCGTCGTTTTGTCATTACAACACGATAAGGGAGGCTCACGGACTTGCATAATCATAGACTACTTTCTTTTATTAGAACTTTTGTGATACTTTTTAATATCTAGTGGTGAAGTTCACGTTAATGATCCACCAAACATATAAATTGAAAATAATAAGTTGATAACGTTGTTGTATCATGAATTATGAAAAAAATTCACTAATTGCCAATTGGTTGAGAAGTTACCATAGCTTAAAAGGACTGACGGTTGTAATGTGATATCTATAATAAAAGTTTTATAAAGATGTGATGCTAAGCCCAGAACAGATGTTAAGTAAAGTTAAAAGTTTCAATCTCAGGTGTGAACATGAATAGTTCACTCGTCGCAACCGAACAAAAAAAAACAGTCTGTTAAGAGTTTTGTCATGATATGGCATCAAAATAATTGGTTTGTCTGGTTTTTGGTTGTTTATCACTATCCAAAAGCACATTTCACTTCACATGCAACACAATGCCTTTGGTCCCTGGCTGACTCTACTCCGGGCCATACACTCTGTCTCCTCGTGACGGTTATCTTCTTTGAAGCTTTCAAATTATAAACCCACAACAGTGTATGTTAAAACCTCAAAGAATTAGTTGGTTTGGAATAACGCCGGTGCCAAAGTATATGCAACTCGAAACAGCTGCAAAATGCAAACTTGTCTATTAACTTCAAAGCTTATATTTTACATAGGGTAGGGTACAATATGCTCTAGAGAGAGCGAAACTTCAAATACTATAGTTTTGACAAGATCACCATGAAAAAAATCAAACATTAACTTTTTTTAATCATTCACGTGAAATGATCAAGTAGTACTGCCTGCCAGTCCAGACAGGAGTGACCGGACCGGATCCACCAACCACACCTCGACGTTGAGGATATTTTCGTACTTTCAGATATCACTTTAGCCATATATAAATACATCCTATTCAAAGAACATTATCTTATATCCACAACACCACATTATCTCAAAACCATGGCCTCCTCAACACTCCATTTATTCTTCTTCTTAGCCCTTCTCTTGCCGTCCACGCTTACCACCGCCACACGTGACACATGTGCGACCGCCGCTCCCGACGGCTCCGACGATCTCTCAATCATCCCCATCAACGCCAGATGCTCACCATTCGCAGCAAATCCAACCTCCACCTCCGTCATGGACACCGTCCTCCACATGGCCTCCGCAGACTCTCACCGCCTCACCTACCTCTCAAGCCTCGTCGCCGACAAACCCAACCGAACCTCCGTCCCCGTCGCCTCCGCCAACCAGCTCCTCCACACCGGCAACTACGTCGTCAGAGCTAGACTCGGCACTCCTCCCCAGCTCATGTTCATGGTCCTAGACACCAGCAACGACGCCGTTTGGCTCCCTTGCTCCGGCTGCTCGGGCTGCTCCAACGCCTCAACCGCCTCTTACTTCAACCCCAACTCCTCATCCACTTACTCAACCCTCTCTTGCTCCACCTCACAATGCACGCAAGCACGTGGCCTCACGTGCCCATCATCCTCACCCTCACCACCTTCCATCTGCTCCTTCAACCAATCCTACGGCGGAGATTCATCCTTCTCCGCTTCCCTAGTCCAAGACACGCTGACGTTAGCCTCTGACGTCATCTCCAACTTCTCCTTCGGATGCATCAACTCCGCGTCCGGGAACTCCCTCCCACCGCAAGGACTAATGGGCCTAGGACGCGGGCCCACTTCATTAATCTCCCAAACGACGTCGCTTTACTCAGGCGTGTTTTCCTACTGCCTCCCTAGCTTCAGGTCCTTCTACTTCTCCGGGTCGTTGAAACTGGGTCCCACCGGTCAACCAAGATCCATCAGATACACTCCACTCCTCCGCAGCTCTCACCGTCCCTCACTCTACTACGTCAATCTCACCGGTATAAGCGTAGGTCCCACACTAGTTCCCGTTGACTTCAAGTACTTGACGTTTGACTCGAGCTCCGGAGCCGGTACGATAATCGATTCCGGTACAGTAATCACCCGGTTTGTTCAACCGGTTTACGAGGCCGTTAGAGACGAGTTTAGGAAGCAGGTGAGAGGGCCGTTCTCGACGCTGGGAGCGTTCGACACGTGTTTCGCCGCGGATAACGATAACTTGGCGCCAAAGGTGACGTTGCACATGACGTCACTCGATTTGAAGTTGCCCGTGGAGAATACGCTTATTCATAGCAGCGCGGGAACGCTGGCTTGTTTGTCGATGGCGGGGATACCGTTGAACGCGAACGCTGTTTTGAATGTGATCGCGAATTTGCAGCAGCAGAATCTGAGGATTTTGTTTGATGTTCCTAATTCTCGCTTAGGTATTGCTACTGAGGCATGCAACTAAGAGGAAGATGTAAAATCTATTGTTCTTCTTTTTTTGCCTTATTTGTTCGATGTTTATTTGAATTTGAAGTGAAAGGGTACTTGAATAAGAGATCGATTAGATGGCAAGTCATCTAGATTGATGTATGTTGTTGATTTTCGGCTTGCAACTACAAGAAAAAAATCACTTCCACAAGTTTTTTATCAGTGAATGAATACATTGATCAACGAGATGCAAGAAAAAACCGAGAAGAAACTATAATGCAAAAAGAGCATTGCCAAATTCTGTGTCTCTCTCCCTCTGAGACTACAATTGCAGGCTAAAGATTACAATCCTCTTTGTCACTCTTTTTCAAGGGTTCAAAAACAGAAGCTCTAGAGTAGTGTACAAGTGACAGAAACCTTAAAGGACCATGAAGCTTGCCAGACAATATAATCTCTGTGAGCATTAGAGCAGCAGCTAACCATGGCACACTTCACTTTCTATTCCTGAAACACAGTGAATTCAGGGGTTTTTTTAGTACGCAATCTAACACATGAAAACGTTGAACCAGTCAAGCAAACCACTTGTGTAGTCATCCTAATTTCTTCAAAAGGACTTTATCTCATAATAAACATCAACTTACTACATTATTCCTATACTATTTTCAAGTTCCCGGTTCTAAGAAATGACACAATTGATTCTCTCACTTGGCCTTTTCAACAGTTCCAGCAAAAGTATTTGAGGTATTAGTCCAGAAAATGAAAAGATCGAAGCAAAAAATCAGAATTGTTAGTTACACTGGTGCTGATAACTAAACACCTACTACAACAATGAATTTATTCAACCTCCAAAACGGTCTACTTAGATCCTAATCCTAAAAACGTTTGATTAAGTTGAAATAATCAGGTATTTACCTACTTCAAAACCAAAAGATTTACAGAATAAGGAGCAAAATTTTTGTGATAAGAAACTTACCTCCATAGGATCAGAACCGTCATTAACACCTGAAGCAGGCTTCCCGTCTTTTGTGGCCACGTTGGAATGAACAGGATCAGGAACTATAAGGCCTGCAGGAACCTGGCCAAACTTCAAAGCCTGTTCGAGTCTGGCAATTTCTTCTATCGTCTGGGAGTTGATAATTGCAGCCTGGAACATCATCGAAATGAAAAACCAAATATTACAATCAAATACAGAGCCTTCATTTACTTAACAAATCAGCGAATAATGCTCTGTCCTATCCAGTTTCCAGTTTCTCTTCTGTTGAAAGCCCCCAGGAAACAATTCTTATGCTACGCAGCTAAATAATCCATTTGACCCAATTTAGTGATAAGCGCACCTTGATTGCTAAAATTTGCTCCGGTGTCGGGGCCACGACTTTTGGAGTCTCTGATTCTTCAGTAGTATCAGACACTTTTTGAACCACCTCCTGAGATACCTTCTGAACCTCTTCTTCTGCTTCCTTAGATGAAAACAAAGCCGCAGCTTCAGCTCTTTCCTGGTAGCAAACAATGATTATCAGGTTAATGGTCTTCCTCTTAGCATTTTCTAATTCACTAATTCATATTATTGCCTACAGTCCGGTTAAACCATTTAATGGTTTTGCATATGCTACGGTGGAATAAAAGCTCAAGGGAGAGGCAAATGCTACAAGAAGCTGAAATACGACACTACAGCGTCTATAACACAAGAAGTTGAATACGATACTACAGAGTCTACAAGAAGCATAGGAAGGTACACTAACGAGCTGAATACGACACTATAGAGTCTATAACTCATGAAAAAACTTGGATACAGAGTAAGTTCCTCACCTTGGCTTTGACTTTAATGAAATCCAGCACTCGAAGTGATTTAAGCTTGTGAATCACATAAAGCCGATAATTCGGCTTTTTGGTGATATTATTATCCAATAAACTAAGGTACTGAAGCTTTGGAATAGAGGCAAGTGGATCAATCTCAACCAAATTCACCAGCCTGTTGTTCGTAAGAACCAAAGTATGCAGCTTTGGTAAAAACTCTACACAAAAAAAAAATAGAACAAACACAACACAATGAATTCAAAATTCAAAATCTCATTACAACACGCAAAAAAAAAGGACGAAGCTTTACCTCCAATGTTAGGATTTATCCGAGTAATCCGATTGTTATTTACAATCAGAGTCCCTAACCGGTTGAGAAGTGGAAAATTTTCTAGCTTAACTATCTCATTATCAGACAGATCTATTGTATCGAACTGGTCCTGTAATAAAAAAACACAAATTTATTAGTAATAAAAAAAAAAGAAAAGAGATTTTCAAATAACAACAGCATAATTCGAGAAAGTTACCTCAGTAGCACCCAAATTCTCGATTACAGGAATCTTGTTACCTTCAACAAAAAATAGCAGAGAGAGATGCGTTTAGGGTTTACGAAAAAAACTGGAATAGTAATGGGGGAAGATGATAAGTTTACCTCGTAGCTCCAACTCTCGCTCCTTGATGGCGTTGAAGAAGTGAGGACTGTTCCAGATCAAATCAGCTGTTAGCTTCACCATTATTCTACTACTAGGGTTTTACAGCTTCTCTGCTCCTCGGATTCAGAAGAAAGAGAGAAGAGTGTCGGAGAAATCATGAAGACGCAGAAGTCTCTTTGTTATTATGACTCGGCCCATTTAAGTGTACTATTGGGCTATTTGAGCTGGCCCATGATAAAATAGCAAAAACAAAAGTGTAATATTGGGCTCTCTGCTACTACCACTCGGCCCATTATAGTGCAATTATGGGCTATTTGGGCTGGCTTATAATAAAATTTCGTTATTTTAATTTTGAAAAAAGTTAAATTAAAAGAAAAGGACTCGATTTCGATTGGAACTGTTCTTCTTCTTCTTCTTCGTTGTTTCAAGCCCTAATCTAGGGTTACTCTCAATCTCGCTCCCTTCTATTCTTCATTCTCCCGATTTACACGAGCATTAGCTTCACAAACACCCTTTGAATTTGATCACATTGGGGACAAAAAAAAAACAGTTGAGCGAAGATGAGGATTATGATCAAGGGAGGTGTGTGGAAGAACACCGAAGATGAGATCCTCAAAGCCGCCGTGATGAAGTACGGCAAAAACCAATGGGCTCGTATCTCCTCCCTCCTCGTTCGCAAGTCCGCCAAGCAGTGTAAAGCTCGTTGGTACGAATGGCTCGACCCCTCCATCAAAAAGGTTAGTAGCGTTTAAAAGTATTGATTTTGATTTCTTGAATTTCGTTAGAAAGTGTAAACCTTTACGATTTTTACTGAATTTAGAAACTGATTTTTTTTTTTTGTATGGTGTTGATGTTTTAGACTGAATGGACCAGAGAAGAAGATGAGAAGCTTCTACATCTCGCAAAGCTCTTACCTACTCAATGGAGAACCATTGCTCCCATCGTGGGACGCACACCGTCTCAATGCCTCGAGAGGTACGAGAAGCTTCTTGACGCGGCGTGCAGTAAGGACGAGAGTTACGAAGCGGGGGATGATCCGAGAAAGCTACGTCCTGGTGAGATTGATCCTAACCCGGAGTCGAAGCCTGCTCGTCCTGATCCGGTGGATATGGATGAGGACGAGAAGGAAATGCTTTCTGAAGCGAGGGCGAGGTTGGCTAACACTAGGGGGAAGAAGGCTAAGAGGAAAGCTAGGGAGAAGCAGCTTGAGGAAGCGAGGAGGCTTGCTTCTTTGCAGAAGAGGAGAGAGTTGAAGGCGGCTGGGATTGGTAAGAGTCATAGGAAGAAGAAGAGGAAAGGGATTGATTATAATGCGGAGATTCCTTTTGAGAAGAGGGCGCCTGCGGGGTTTTATGATACGGGTGATGAAGATCGTCCTGCGGAGCAAGTTAAGTTTCCGACGACTATTGAGGAGCTTGAAGGGAAGAGGAGGGCTGATGTGGAAGCGCAGTTGCGGAGACAGGATGTTGCGAGGAACAAGATTAATGAGAGGAAGGATGCTCCAGCAGCTATATTGCAAGCGAATAAGTTGAATGATCCTGAAGCTGTTAGGAAGAGGTCTAAGCTGATGTTACCACCACCGCAGATTTCGGATCACGAGCTTGAGGAGATTGCAAAGATGGGGTACGCTAGTGACCTTCTTGCGGAGAATGAGGAGTTAACAGAAGGCAGTGCTGCTACTCGTGCGCTTTTGGCAAACTACTCACAAACACCAAGGCAAGGAATGACACCCATGAGGACGCCACAAAGAACTCCTGCTGGTAAAGGTGATGCTATTATGATGGAAGCAGAAAATTTAGCTAGATTAAGAGATTCTCAGACGCCTTTGCTGGGAGGAGACAATCCTGAGTTGCACCCTTCTGACTTTACTGGGGTCACGCCTAGGAAGAAAGAGATTCAAACGCCTAATCCGATGCTGACTCCTTCAATGACTCCTTCGATGACTCCTGGTGGTGCTGGCCTTACTCCTAGACTGGGCTTGACGCCATCAAGGGATGGGTCTTCTTTTGCTATGACACCCAGAGGTACTCCCTTTAGGGATGAACTTCACATAAATGAAGACATGGACATGCACGAGAGCGCTAAACTTGAGAGGCTGAGACGAGAGGAAGCTAGAAGGAGCTTACGCTCCGGACTTACTGGGCTTCCTCTGCCAAGAAACGAGTACCAGATAGTTGCACAACCTCCTCCTGAGGAAAGTGAAGAGCCAGAAGAGAAAATTGAGGAAGACATGTCAGACAAGATAGCTAGGGAAAAGGCTGAGGAGGAAGCAAGATTGCAGGCACTGCTTAGGAAAAGGTCCAAGGTGTTACAGAGAGATCTTCCTAGACCTCCAGCAGCTTCGTTGGAACTAATTAGGAATTCATTGCTTTCAAGAAACGGTGACAAAAGTTCTGTTGTTCCTCCTACTCCAGATGAGGTTGCAGATGAATTGGTAAGAAAGGAGCTTTTACAGTTGCTGGAGCATGATAATGCAAAGTATCCTCTTGATGGGAAATCTGAGAAAAAGAAAGGAGTCAAGAACCGTGCTAACAGTTCTGGTACTCAAGTTCTTGAAATTGAAGACTTTGAGGAAAATGAACTCGAAGAGGTAAGATTATGAATAATATCGTAGTTATCTCAGTTTACTTTGGTTGTTTAGTTGATTAATTAGTTGAACTACCTTTATCTTGTGCTTAGTTTTCTCTTGGTTCATGGATAGGTTGCTTGATGGATATTATGCACATGAATGTAGAACCGCCCTTGGTTTGAAGCAACATCTTTAATCTGGTATACGAGAAGGGGTTTCTAATGAAAACTTTTTATGATTATTATGGTAGGCTGACAAAATGATTAAGGAGGAGGCGCAGTTTCTTTGCGTGGCAATGGGAAACGAGAACAAGACACTTGACGATTTTGTAAAAGCTCACGACGATTGCGTGAAGGATCTCACTTACTTCCCCACTCGTAATGCTTATGGGCCTTCAAGTGTTGCTGTGAAGGCAGAAAAAGTTGCAGCTTTGCAAGTGGAGATGGAGAATGCGAGAAAAAAGATGGAGGAAGATGAGAAGAAGGCAGAACACATGAAGGCTAAGTATAAAACTTATACAAAGGGTCACGAGGTATATATATAGTCCTCATTACCTGTATCTTAATTCTGAAAATATGGTGTACTCTCAAGTTTGGTGTAATAATGTTTAATGATTTACTATTTGTTCATTTGACAGAAAAGGGCAGAGACCGTGTGGAGCCAAATAGAGGCGAGTTTGAAGCAGATTGAGATTGGTGGAACAGAAGTAGAGTGCTTTAAAGCATTGAAGAGGCAAGAAGAGATGGCTGCATCTTTCAGGAAGAAGAATCTAGAGGAAGAAGTGGTAAAGCAAAAAGAGACAGAGCGAAAACTTCAAGCGCGCTATGGAGAACTGTTGTCAACGCTTGAAAAGGCAGAGGAGATAATGGTCGGGTTCCGAGCACAAGCATTGAAACAAGCGGATGTTGAAGATTCTAACAAAGAGAAAGAAGCTAAGCCAGTGGCCACTGGAGTGGAAGCTTCTGTTTAAGCATCTCACTGAACTTGAGTTTTTGTATTGATTCAAGTTTTAATGAGCCAAAGCTTGACTATGTATTGGTTCTACGTTTAATGCGAATCATGATTTTGTAAGCTTTTGATACTTCTCTATTGTATGCTTATGGTCAACAAAAATGCTTGAATGCAAACAGATTTTGATAATCAACCTCTTTGAGGGAAATAAGCCACCCTTTGCTGGAGATTTTTTGGAAGAAGAAGGAAAAAGCTTGAATATCATTCAAAACCAAAATCAACATGTTTGGCCAAAAGGCAAAATCAAACAATGCTCGTCTTTTGTGTTATATTATTAAAAATGAAAAGCAACATATCATTCTTAGAGTTTCAGCCTCTTTTCAAAACTAAGAAGGCTCTCAGTTCTACTCCACAACTTCAATGAGGGTGGGCTCGTAGTCAGCGGGAGCTACAAATCCATGGAGGTTCATCACTGTTGCAGCTACATTCGCAAGTCCTGGTGTCTCCAGATCCTTACGGAATCTCACTCCTGCAGACAGTCCTGGTCCTCCAATGGCAATTGGCACCTGCAACACATTCAAATCAGTATCCACAATGTCACATCAAGTCTAGTCCAATGTATTAACTGTAATAGCCGCAGAACACAGATATGCACTTACTGGCTTGAGAGTGTGAGAGGTAAGAATCTGAAGCTTTCCTTCTTTATCCAAAGCAGGCTTTCCAGCCTTGTCCCTCTTAACCATGTCCTCTGCGTTTCCGTGATCAGCTGTCACAACGTAAATACCTTTCACTTGTTCAATTGCATCCAGGATCATCTGCAACAACCAAACCAGGCAACACCATTAGTGGACAGTCACTCACTCATATCATCAACACTCGTCAATAAACTTTTTCTTAAAAAAAATACAGTACCTTCACAGCAACATCAGCAGCCTCGCAAGCAACAACCGTGGCATCAATGTCACCAGTATGTCCAACCATATCACTATTTGGCAAGTTAACTCGCACCTGGTCAAACTTGCCACTAAGAATTGCATCCCTTGCCTTCTCAGCAATCTCCAATGCCTTCATCTTTGGCTGGACATTGAATGAGATTCCACTGTCACTTGGAATTTCAACATACTGCTCAAGTTTCTCGTTGAAGTATCCAGATCGGTTTCCGTTCCAGAAGAATGTGACATGCCCAAACTTGACGGTCTCACTGTTTCACATACATTGACATATATATATGATCAGTTCAAGATCAATACTATACACTATTGGCAAAACAATGAATATGACAATAGAGAAATAAACAAACCTGCAAGCAAAAGTACTGATGCCATTGTGAGTCAAATATTCACCAGAGGTTCTATCAATCTCCGGGGGAGAAACAAGGTAACGGCTTGGCAGCTTTAGCTCTCCATCATACTCAAGCATACCAGCGTAACGGATCTTAGGGAACCTAACACGGTCAAACTTGTCAAAGTTCTCATACTCAAGCGCCTTGGCATGCATAACCATACGATCAGCCCTGAAGTTGAACGTGACAACAGCATCACCATCCAAAATAGGACCAACA